CTTTCCAGCTCTATTCCGTTTGATGGATTGAGCAATCGACGGTGCAAATCCGTGTATTGGCGTCCATGTTTTAGACTAAAGGGTAAAACATGAAGAATGGTTGTAGGAATTGGGCACATTCAGTTTAATGAACGCTAGGGGAGACATGAGAGCAGTCTTCCAATATCTCGGGGGTTGCCCCAGAGAAGAGAAGAGAAGAGAAGAGGGGGTCCACCTATTTTCCAAAGCCCCTGAAGAGGCAGGACAAGAAGCAAAGGATGGAAACTAACCAAGGAGAGAAGCAACCTAAAACTAAGGAGAAACTCCCTGACAGACAGAACAATCAACCAGTGGAACAATTTACTTCCAGAAGTGGGTGTTCCAACACGAGGTTTTTAAGAAGAGGTTGAACAACCGTTTGTCTGAAATGGTATAAGGTTTCCTGCCTAAGTGGGGTTGGACTAGAAGACCTCCAAGGTCCCTTCCAACTCTTATTATTCTGTGAATCAGCTAAATATTTGGTCCCTAAATGGTCCCCTAATCCTCTTTGTGGCTCTTCTCTGCACTCTTTCTAGAGTCTCAACATCTTTTTTACATCGTGGTGACCAAAACTAGATGCTGTATTCCAGGTGTGGCCTTACCAAGGCCTTATAAAGCGGTATTAACAGTCTACGTGATCTTGATTGTATCCCTCTTGTCGATGCAGCCTAGGGCTGTGTTGGCTTTTTTGGCAGCTGCAGCACACGGCTGGCTCCTATTTAAGTGATCGCCCACTAGGATTCCCCAAGATCCCTCTCCCAGTTACTACTCTTGAGCCAGGGACCACCTGTTCTATACCTGTGCATTTATTGGAATGACCGAAATACATAACAATCCCCGCAGGTTAAAAAAATGGAGCTCCCTTTTTTACTTTAAAGTCACTAGCTTTCTATATTGTTCTCTGAGATCCTCGCTCAAAAAAAGACATCAAACGTCTCATCTGGGCGTGATAACGAGGACAGGATGTCCGATAACCCGTCGCAAGGAAGTCACAAAAACCTCAGTGCCGTCCCCTAAAGCACCAAGTCTCCATCAGGCAGAGCATCATTTTGGAGAACACCAAGCCGACGATTAGACCCACCAGCACCCAGGCCCCTCTGGATAAGACGACCAGGAGGGTCTCTCTCATCGCTTGAGAGTCTAACTTCAGCTTGGCCTGCACCATCTCGAACAGCAGGGAGGGCCACTCCCAGCAGCAGCAGAAGAGATCGCCGGTCTCCGTGTCGTCGAAGGAGAACGGTTCCAGCTGCTCTTCCAGGCACAGGATCTCGTTCTCCTGCACGTCGCAGATCTTCTGGAGTTGGTCTATCGTGCTCTTCAGCTCAGTGGACTGCTGCTTCTGGTCGGCGTAGCGCAGCTCGGCCGTCGCGATCTCCGCCTCCAGCTGCCCAAAGTAGCCCGCGATTTGCTCCACCACTTGCTTCATGCGCAACATGTTCTGGTCCCGACTCGCTCGGTAATCCTGGAACCGGACAAGGTCATGGGAGATGGTCTGGATTTCGGAGCGGAGAACCTGGTTGGTCTCGGCCAAGGTCTGGTTCTGGGCCTCCAGGGTCGCCCGGGTGTCTTCCCGTTCTCGCAGCAACTCCTGAAGCTGCTCCTCTTCCTTTTCCAAGACCTTCACCATGGCGGCCAAGCAATCGATTCTCCCTTCCAGGTTCTTGTTCTCCTTCTTGATGCCTTCAATGTCCTTCATGATCTTCTGGTTTTCCGCCTCACGGTTGGCCACTCTCTCTTTGAGGTCGCTGATCTCCTTCTTTAAGCCTTCCTGGGTGGACATCGGAAGGGTCTCTGCAGCTTTCTCCATGGTGTTGGAGAAAGGGCTCGAATTCAGCACTGGTCCTGTTGAGTCCTCTGCCAAGGAACAAGCAAAGGAACAAGCGAATAAGCCAGCATCAAATAGCAATAGCACTTAGACGTATATACCGCTTCACGGTGCTTTCCAGCCCTCTCTAAGCGGTTGACAGAATCAGCCTGTTGCCCCCAACAATCTGGGTCCTCGTTTTAGCCACCTCGGAAGGAGGGAAGGCTGAGTCAACCTGGAGCCTGGTGGGATTTGAACTGCCAAATTGCCGGCAGCCGGCAGAAGTAGCCTGCAGTACTGCACTCTAACCACTGTGCCACCGTGGCGCATTATATCATCCTATTCTCGGCGTATCCCAATCTGTTTTTGGATATTTTCATATGGACGATCATGGCAAAGGACAGCAGTCTGGCCCAGTTTAACTTATTTCCTCAGATTAGGTTGGTACCAGTGGGAGACACTAGGAATTGGGATGGGAGGCCACTAGGAAAAAAAAACCTCATCCCAATAATATTTAGTTTGTTCCAGAAAAGTTATAAAAGAACAGAGTTCGAAGGGACCTTGGAGGTCTTCTAGTCCAACCCCCTGGTCAGGAAGGAAACCCTATACCATTCCAGACAAAATGGCTGTCCAATCTTTTCTTAAAAACCTCCAGCATTGGAACATCCACAACTTCTGGAGGCAAGTTTTTCCATGGATTAGTGGTCCTAACTCTCTGGAAAAGTTGTTCTAACTGTCGGGAAACTACATATTAATCAGGAAATTAAATAATTAACCAATTTACTAATTAAAATACAAAGCACCAAAATATTAAAAAACAAAAGCAAAATATAAAAATATATATAAAACCACAACAAACAAGACTTTAAAAAGAAAAAAAGAATGAGTTGTGGGGGAAAGAAAAGATCACATCTAAGCGTAATATCCTCCCTAGCTGAATGTTGATTAATGTAAAACTCATTCCAGAAGACAAATCACAATCAGGTCTGCTAACTCTGACCAGAAACGTAAACGGTATGTGAGAATGACCTTGGGAGACCAGAGGAAGAAGCTCAAAACTAGCTGCCAATGGCGGGACAACCAAGGTAGACGGGTCTGCAGAAGGAATGGGGGTGTTGCAAACCTCCCAGGAGGGATCCTACCTAGTTTCTCAGGCTGTAAAGGTAATGTTCTGATGCAGGCTTTGTAAACATAATTAAACTTGTTTTAAAAGCAAAACCTATTTTATTGCAACGCTAGGAATTACTTTCATTCCCAGCCAGAACTAATCGTAAACAGTTCCCCAAGATAAGCACACGCCTTTCAGTGCTGTGGAATGCTGCCAAAAACAAGTCTCCAATTATAACACCACCAAAGTACCAGAAAAAAAACAACCAGAGCTTCAAGAGAGACTCGGAATCTACCGAACTACTTTGCTTCCTGCAAAGAGTTCATCATTGAGGTCTGACTTTTATCCCTCGTGGGAGGGGCAATCACCTCCCAGCCTTACTCTTGAGTTGCCCCTTTTGTCTCAGCTGCTCTCTCCTTCTAGCAGCTCTGTGCATACACGCACTGGGAACAGGCTCCCCTTGTTACTCTGCCTCACTTCTGCCAGACTCCGGAGGCTCCAGAGGCAGCACCCCACTCACAGATGGTCCTGGCTCCATCTATGCATCGGACGTAGGAACTTCGTCCGAGTCCTCCCCAGACTCCTGGACTGGTCCCCCGTTCTTCCCCACTGTCCGATTCCGCTGCCGTCTGCATCAGCTGCCAGCGAACCACAACAGGTGAGCGGTAAGGAAAGGCCCTTTCAGATTTGCAAGATTTTGTGAACGGAGCCTTACGAGAAAGTTGGAGCGAGCATTTTTGGGTGGGCTACCTCACAAGCCTGACAGGGATAGACCCCGAGATTCCCCAGGATCCAAAACCCTCCTCTTGCTCCTTCATTTGGAGACACCAATGCTTCCTCTAAAGAAGAGGCTTTGATCCGCAATAGCATTTTAAGTTCAAACAGCCTTTCTTAAGGATGCTCCTGATATTTGGTATCAGGTTATGAATATTTATTTCCTCCGCAACGTCGCCTGATTTTTTTTTTTTTTTTTTTATGGCTTCTGCAGATGTCTTCGGGATCTGTGTTACTTTATTCGAAGGAATTATTTTTAATTGCTTTTATTTTGTAAAATGACCTTTCTCCTCCCGAAGCCATTGGTCACTAGGAAGCTGGAGAGAGTGCCACCTTGAGAAAGAAGGAGTTTTGTGGACGGTTTGGGAAAGAAAAGGAAGAATATTTTAAAATAAAGGATAGGAATGTGGAAAAAGCTATTGGTCATAAAGTCCAGTTAATCATAATCTTCTTCCTCTTCCTCCTCTTCTCCTTCTCTTCCTCTTCTTTTTTCTTCTTCCTCTTCCTCCTTTCCTTCTCTCTCCTCCCTCTTTCCTCTTCTCCCTCTTCTTCCCCTACTTCTCTTCCTCCTCTTCTGTCTTCCTCCTCTTCCTCTTTTTCTTCTTCCTCCTTTCCTCCTCTTCCTTTCTCCTCCCTCCTCCTCCTCTTCTTCCTCCTCTTCTTCTGACTTCCTCCTCTTCCTCTTCTTTTCTTCCTCTTCCTCCTCTTCCTCTTTTCAACTTCTCTTCCTCTTCTTTTCTTCCTCTTCTCTTCCTTTCCTCCTCCTCTTCCCCTTTTTCTCCTCCTCCCCCTCCTCCCCCTTCCTGCCTGTCTCCTTTCCTCCTCCTCCTCCTCCTCCATTACCACTTTGGATACCGAGGGAGGAACACTTAATAAAGAGCCCAGTCAATAAAATCAGAAAAGAAGCAACTCCCACCAAAGGTCTCCATCTTCCTTAGAACTACAAGACACTTATCCTTGGAAAACGCTGACTAAAAGATGTCAAATCAATATATTCTTCAGAACCTGGTAACTGCATCATCCAAGATTCCCAATAAAATGCTTATTTTGGGGGGGGGGGGGGGGGATTAGAGAAACCATCATTTTCACCTACTCACTGAAGAATCCTCAGTTCCCACGAGACAAATGGCCTCTCCCAAACAGCCCAGCATCAACCAGAGCAGAGGTCAAATCCAACTGTCACAAGGCGCCTGACAGTTGACATCACAATGCAGGCTCCATCACACAACAGTGACACACACACTCACACGTCATTCCTGACAGTGAGCACTTTGGCACAAAGTCAATATTTGTTGGCAGCCACTCACTGAAGACTACGCTGGGATACAG